TGCATACCAAATTTCAAGTTCATGGGACTTATGGTTCCGAAGATATATGCCCACATTACAAATTTCAAGTTCCTGTGACTTGTGGTTCTGAAGTTATAGCTGAAAAAAGTTCCACGCCTATGAGGTATGCCACGCCTCCTTTTAGAAACTAGTTTATATATACCCTCCTATAAGGACCTACTATTGATATGTCCGCAAACCAAATTTCAAGTTCTTGGGACTTATGGTTCCGAAGTTATAGCTGATAAAAAATTCCACGCCTATGGGATGTGCCACGCCCCTTTTACAAACACGTTTAAACATACCCTCCTAAAGGCACCTACCATTGAAATGTCTGCGTACCAAATTTCGTTTTCGTGTGACTTATGGTTCCGAAGTTATAGCTGATAAAAAATGCCACGCCTATGGGATGTGTCACGCCCCTTTTTACAAATTCGTTTATATATACCTGCCTATAAGGATCGACCATTGACGGGTCTGCATACCAAGGTTCAAGTTCATGTGACTTATGGTCTGGAAGTGATGGCTGATTAAAAATTTCACGCCTATGGGAGGTGCAACGCCCCCTTGTCGTTTTCACCCTATTATAGGCCCAGGTGTCATGGCAATACTCTGCCAAAATTTTGTTCGATTCGATGCAAATAGGTTTTTCTTTAATGTTGGATATGGCTAATTCCACGGTGACGGGTGTGACATTTCAACTCACATTTTAAGGGTTAATTCTTAAACTGTAATACAAAATTCTTTAAAACGAGTATTTTGTAATAGGTTTCCGAGATATACACAATGCCTGGAATAAAAATTCCAAAAACAATTTAATCCGAACGAGTTATCTGAATTTTAGTCACTGTGACGGGTGTGACGAGTACGCAAACCAAATTAACTACTCCTTAGATCAGAGTTTTTCTGCTAATTATGTCTTCTGCTTATGGTTTTAAATAGTTCGTTGTATAGTTAAATAAACATTCTAAACATTTACGCCAAAGTTCTTGCCGCTATTGGAAATTATAGATTATATGTTCCAAATTCAACTGTGACGGGTGTGACTTGACTTTGTGGCGGGTGTGACAAGTTGAGCATGAATACATAAATATACATTATTAGACAACTAAGCTAACTTTATTTCTCAAAAAATCGGATTTTAAGATCACATACAAGATTCTGCCACCTAAAGACGGGATAATACTTGATCGAACTCTTCTTTTCCATTGTATGTCTTAGTAATTGTAAAGTACCTTATTTTTAAATAGTATGAGGCTACTACCTGGGAAACCGAGGCCGTTACCTGAAAAAACCGTTTCAGATACTTTTTTGCCCTGACAAGCGAAGTAATGATATCTTTTTTATCCGTGACAGCATAGCTTAAGTTTTCCCATCGCACGAGCAACATATCTTTATGATTAGCTTTATCATCGCTGATCACAAACAGATATATGACACATTTCAGATTAGCTGATAAGTAACGGTAGCAGTCCCTGGCCGAATTTATTGAAGTTTGTCAACCTTTAAATTGTGACGGGTGTGACATGTGACGGGCGTGACCAACATAATCGGTTCTTTTTTCGCTAATAAAAGCTAAATAAATACTTTAAAGCAATTCGCACATATTTCCCTGTGTCATAGCGTTACTTTCGTCAGCTTTTTTACAATGTCCAAGATGTGTTTTCCTTCAAAAAATAACTATTTTGTGTATCTTGTGACGGGCATGACATTAAAATATGCTTTGCTTCAATATATAATAAAATATTTAGTACTTGCCCGAAAAATTTGAAAATTACGCCGTTACAATGCTAACGAATTTGTCTCTCCACTGACGGTTTAAACAATGCTAAAAAGGTAATAGACTACGAAAATCAGTCTTGTAAATTTTGAAAAGAATTAACCTCTCATATGGGTTTGTAAATGGTACAACCTAAAGTAAAAAAATATCTGATTTTGAGATAAATTTCAGAATTTTGGCTCTCAGTATTGAAAGATAGATTTATTTACTCTTACTTACTAGAAATAATACAGTCATATTCTTTGGTTTATTTTCGTTTCATTCGGAATCGATTACCGTGGAATGAGCCATATATTGTCCGATCAATTTAAATATTAATCAGCAAACAGATCTTAATGCGTCGGTGTCATGCCGAAAAATGTCACGCAGGATGCAACACGCAGCATAATCCAATA